GCCTGATGTTCTCCAGAGCAAGTGATCCAACAGCCCATGGAGAAGCCGCAATGCCTTTATGACCTAATCTTGGAAGACACATACCATCCCATTTTGTGTCTTCTTGGTTCTACAGGTCATCTCTGAATTAGTGCAGGATAAACAAAATAAGGGTGTCAATACAGAAGGTGATGATCACTGTGGCCATGTTTGAGACTGGCCACCACAATCAGTATTAGTATTATTACCTCAATTCACAAAAGTAAGAATGATTGGGACTCAAGGGCTCAAGGCCACATGGGCATGTGTTGCTGGTATTTGAAGCCATTACTGATTCCCAGGCCCATGCTCCTCGCGATCTACAATAAAAGATGAACTTATTTTGATGCAGAAATTTCAAAATCAGGAAGTTCTTTTAATAGAAGGAAACATATGGGGTGGACACACATGAATGGGAGGCCTCACTTTCTTCAGTCTATAAATGCCTCATTTATCATGTCTGAAATTTTGTCTTTTACCGGGTGCCCCCTTTCAAAAAATGTTTTCTTAAGCTGCCATGTAATTTAATGAGTTCCATTACACAAACATGGGAAGATATGGATCCTAGCTTTGATTTTATTTTAAATAGACTTCCAAGGCTGACTTTATAGAATGTTGAAGTGAACAAATAGTCCATTAGGGCTAAAATTACATAAACTGTCTAAGTAATTTCAATTTTGAGGATTACCTTAAATAAAAGCAACAGAATGTCAGGCTAAGGTGTAATGGTGTTTATTGCAGGTGCTTTTGTTATAACATAAATTGGAAATCACAGATGGGACGAGAAAAGGAAGGTACATCTTTACTAAGGGATAATATACAACTATTAAAAAGATTAGAGGGGAGGGGTGCCCATGATATACTAGAAAGTTTAAAAAGGAAGTAAAAGAATAATGTCTATTGTTTGATGCTATTTCTATAAAAAAGAAAACCCTGCATCTTTGTGTGTGTTCGCATTAATCTGGACACACACAAAGCAGGGTAGAGGAATATTCCTTTGAATAACCAGCTTATCTGGAGAGAAGGGTGGTGGTGATGTGGAATGGGAGCAGATCATTAGTTTTAAGGAAAAGAAATGTATAGAATACCTGGTTTAAGCACACATCTATACTTTGACTATTTCCTTAAAATCTTAATGGTAATTAGTAAGAAAATCTTCTGTGATTAAGAGAAGCTACTGTTTTGAGTTTTCTTTTTGGCATTGTGCTCTCTTCTTCAGGTCAAAACAGTTTTGGGGCTCACTTTTCCTGGCGCCTAAAATAAAGATGACATGATTTCCCTGAAGGCTATAGAAATAACTGTTTCTAGGGCCCATAAATAGGCATCAACATGGAGGATAAGATGGGGTGACACACTTTAAAGGGAGCAGATGATGTCACTAACATGCATCCTCACTGGTTCAAACTGTTCACAAGAGATTTTCTTCAAATGCTTTGCAGGTGGGGGAGGGAGATCTGTTACTGAAACCTTTCCCTTGCACTTAGCCCAGTGACCATTTCTTAGGGAGTATTGATCAAAAGTACTCACCTCCACCATCTGAGGAGCATAATGCAGGCCCTGGGTATTCATGGGAAAAAGCTTTTCTCTGCCAGGCTATTTTCTGAAGTGAAAAACATCCTTTCAGGAGCTATAGTAGCAAGCCCCTTCCCACTTCACACTCTCAGTGAGAGGCACACTCCACTTTTCAGACCCCAAGATCTCAAGTCAAGGTGGAAGCTGACGAGTGTGACCTCTTTACATAAAACATTCTCTGTCAAACTCAGCAAGCATTTTGCTATAGGGAGAGGTGGGACTTCGAAGTGGAAGATTAAAAATTACACCTGGCTACATAAGGAAGGGTGCTCCTGCCCCAGGAATTTACTCATTTAGTCTTTACTTTCTAAAATAATGTTTAAAATAGAATTTTCAATCATATGAACAATATCTTCTGATAGCTGAGGCAGGAATATGTTGTTGTGAATGTCAAAAAATTCTTGTCAATGTTTTTCATGCTAGACCTGGTAGAGAAGGAAGGCACGAACAAGAACTTCCTAATTCCTCCTTTGCTGTGTAAGAGGCAGAATCTTTCAAATATTTTTTAACATGACAGCTTGTTATAAATTCTCATCCCCTTCATCTAATTCAATTTAACTTGGGATAGTGGAGACTTAGGTATTAAAATTATTTTTAATTTAAGCTTTTAACAACAAAAAAGAAGCAATATCCAATTTCAGCAAATTCTTTTCTATTACCCAGAAAGAAAGTATAACCTCAGAATTTCTGCTGGTTTTGTTGCTGTTTGATTTTTTTGAAGGGTGTGTTTGCGAGTATATCTGGGGCAGGGAGAATATTACTATTATTTATAATGTTCTTGAATCTGTGAATTTTTGACTGTTTGTGACTTGTTGGTGAAGATGTGGTTAAAGCTGCAGTAGGCAGCAAGCTAACGATCTGTGGCCTTAGTGTTGGGAGCAAGTGTTTCCACTCCACTCAAGGTGAGGTCTTGGGGATGGCACTGTTTTATCTTTACCTTTTTTTTCTCTCAAACTCCTGAAATATAAAACTTTTTTTCAGGAGACAAAGAACATAACATTTTGGCCAGACTGCAGCAAGTGCCGAATTACTTCGAGGACCTGGGTATACAGAGAGCAGGAGAGAACCTTCTGGAGTGTGGCAGGTCTGCCCATGCTCAGCATCGACAGCATGTGCAGCCTGCTTCTGCTCTGGGTTCTTCACCTCAAAATCTATTTCTCATATCTGAAGACATTAGCAATTTGTGTTTCCAGGGTCATAGAGGAAAATCAACTCCAGCATCCTCTTCTTTGCCCTTAGAGAGAGTGGGTGAGAGTCACCTGGTAAAACAAGCTCCCCAACAGTGGTGCCCCTGGTGGTCCATGTAGTGCTTGGTCCAGGAGAGGAGGGTCAGGGTAGCTCCAGACTTGATACCTTCACAGTGGCCAAAAGGAACATGGAAACAAACTGTGTGTGCACTGGTTAAGGATGGCGACTGCTGCTAAATGGGGGCGTTGTCAAGAAATGGGGCCCGTGAAACTCAGCTCGGGCTTGGAGCTTCACTTTCTAGCTGTGTGAAACCACTGAGCTAACTGTCTGTTTCAGGACCTGTACAGGATGTGGTTGGAGTGTGGGCAAGGATCTGTGCCTTGGGTAAACTGGATACGCAGGGATGAAATTTACTTTCTGTTCCATTTTCATGATCTCTGCTTTTTGATTTGAAAAATGAAATGCAATTAAAAGCATTTCCATTTATAAAAAGAAAAGCAAATGATAATAGTTACTCTTGACATAAATTGTTTAATAAATCAAAGTGGTCTCAATTTAGTTTATACACACATGCAGGAGCATAACACTAGCTCAAATGTGTACAGAAGTGAACAAATACAAAGGTCCAAGTTGTACTGCTGAGAGAGACTCTCCAGTGCAGCAAACATAAAAAAAGTCCAGAATTTTTTTCTGGAACACTCAGAGTTTTACTATGGCCAGGGGGTAACTCGAAGGTCCATTATTATTTTAAATTCTGGCACTTAGCAAAAGCCAGGAAAGGCTGAGTATATTATTTGTAGCAATGGTCCTTTGGGAAACACTGGAAATTCAGTCTTTTTGGAATTCTGCTGAAGGTCTGGCATGACTTGGCCTAAGATTTGATGTGTATTTTTTGAAGATGAATGGGATCACTTCAGGAAGTATGTTGACTGGAACCCTTCCATCTCTCTTTTTTTTTTTTTTATAAATAAGACAATAAAATGCTTTATAACTTCATAACAATATCTTTTGAAATTCAAAGGACTATTTCCAGATCTAAAAAAAGTCCATTAATTATCCTGGAGGGAATTGGGGCCAGCTATAAAGTGGAACTGGTAAAGGGGTGGGACATTACACTGAACAGTTGTAGATGAGCCAGCTGCTCCTCAGGAAGTCTTCCCTGATGTTCCCTCTACTCCAGGGTGCGCAAGCAAAATAGGGTGTAAGGGTTGCCCAAAGCTTCACAATGGGGCTGGCCTAAGTGCCTCAACTAAAACCTATCTGCAGGTCAGAATCATGGGGTATAAGGGAAGGCTTTAAAAATATTAATGCTGGCGTTCTATCCAGGTACCCAGACCTGGTGGACCAGAATTGAGGTGGAGGGTGGGGCATGACTGTATGGCAAGGCGTGGGGAACCACTGCTTCTAAAACTCTGCATCAACCTTCATTGTTCGAGGAGCCAAGTATTAAAAGCACCTTCAAGCATGCTGTTGTTACCAGTCAAAAGCTAAAAAAAGCCAAATGATTCAGGCTCTCTTTGGATCCTAGGAAGGCCAGGACCCTCTTTCAAGTCATGGAAATGTCTTGTAAGTAACAGGTACTCATAAATATTTGCTAAATGAACAAATGGATGATTTTCAGAGAGCTCAACTGTTCAATGTCCTGAAAGTCCACTGCTGTCCAGAGCACAGGAGCAGCCAAGGGCACCGGCAAAGGCCACCTGATCAAGCCATTACAATGTGATGGTTGTCGTCTTCAGATAGGTCCATCAGCATCACTTCAGCCACAGCAACAGAGGCCATTATTACATGCTCATCAGTACCTGAGCCTTTAGACCTCTGGAAGGGTGGCTCATGCAGAGGGCCACCCAGAGAGATAGGAGTCAACACTGAGGGTCCCTGTGGACCTTGATACAAATAGCAGGAGGTACAGACTCAGCTGTTTAATTGTGAAGAGGAGATGAATTTAAATCCATGAAATTGATAATGCTTAGACTCAAATACTCATTTGAGCGGTCTTAGCATACCATGTTATGAACTCAGAGGTCAATTTTTCATTGGGTAGGCTAGCTTCCATTTTGAATAAATCTTTAGGCTTCGATTTAGAAACAAAAAGCTTTTGAACAACTTTTCTGATAAAAACACAAACCATCTTTTGTTAAATGTTACAATAAGCATTATTTTCCTACAAATGATAATGAAAATAAATGAAAAAAAAAACATATGGCAATAAGTGCTGTGTCTCTATTTTATTAAATCATCACAGTAAATCATAGTTCAGGAGAAAAGGAGGGTAGACCAGAGAGTTGTGGTAGTCACCTGTGGAACTGTGTACTTCTCTGTGCATGGCATGTCTCTGCACAATGACCCGGCACAACACAAACGCTTGACTGCAAAGGTGCATTACACAGAAAGGTCTCTATCATCTGGGCATAAACCCAGATGTGAGCATTAGGAAAATTAAATAAGAGCAAAATACAAATCAAATGACACACTATAACTTAATTTATGATATTTATCAAATTTTTTCCTTATTTACAAGTATTAAATATTGTAGGCCTGAAAACATTCAATTAATGTGTATGTCATACATAGATATTGAGTGCAACTAAAATGATGGTTGTTTATGTTCAATTTCCTTTCAGATGCAGACACTCCTCTTCAGTAGACCTAAAGGTAGCAGTTACATATAAGACATCACAGTAAGTTTTAAAGGACCCCCTCAAACCTCTGGATGATACAAATAGAATAGTAAATAAAGGACAGTTGCCCGCACCTGAGGAACTCCAGGAAGATGTGACATGATTTGTACTGTCTATAGGTTCACATGATCTTGTTTGTAAGGCGAAGGATCTGATATTAGCCCCTCTCACAAAATGAATGCTAAACCCCGTCTTCCTCCCTTTCGATTTTTAGGAACTGCAGTCTTAATTGCATGAAGACACTGTGACAATCACTTACTGAAGCTAAATTTCCTCACTTCTGTCTACTTAAGAGTTTACTATTTTTAAAGGAGTAATTTTGTGGCATTACTATTTTTTTAAGTACAAAACCTACTCAGTGAGACTATAGAAGATCAGTCTGGTCCTGCATGGAAGCCAGCGAGTCTTACCCATTTTGGGCCAATTAATGGCCACTTTTGTTTACAGATGGCTGACCTACTAATATGACTCAGGTGGGACCTCACTGGATGAGTGACCTTCAGCAATTTAGCTGAAAGGCATTAATTACAAAAGCAAAATATTTGCTTTTCTAAGTGAAAAAGAAAAAAAGACTTGATCATTTCAATTTTCCACCCCAAATAACAAGAATGATTCAAGTCCACATGATTGCAAGCAAACCTGGCTGCCAGATCCCCTGCTTTCCCATTCCAAGTCTCCAAACGAAACCTGGTACTGAGAATAGTGGGCTCAGGAAAAGCCACAGTGTCAAAACTGCTGGTTGTAATCTGGGGTCAGAGTTGTTAAAATCATTAGGGATGACAGGAAGGTCTAGTTATTTGCTACCTACAACTGAGTCTCCCACTGCAGGTTGAGGAGGACTGGTTCCTGGAGGTAAAGTGGAATCATGGAGCAGAAGTCCAGTAGAGTTCAGTATGACTCCCAAGTCCCAACACTTCAACTAAATCCAAGAATTCTGCACCAGCGATTTGTAGAATCTGAAGATGAAATATTCTAGAAGCTACTACCCATGAGAGTTTCCATGGGACTCTGGACCCCAGCAACATGTGCTGCCTTTCTCGGAAGGAACAAGGTTTGGGTATTTTGTAAATATGAAACAAAGCAACTCAAAAGCAGTCTGAGTATGCGTGATGGGGCAAACCAAGCCCACCGGAAAGCCCAAATCATTAAAAAGGTGTATGTGTGTGGGAGGGGAACATAAACTCCTGACATTTGCTGAGACAACAGAAAATGCTATGACTTCCAGTCACCCTTTATATTGCCATTCAGCCCCAGTGGGTGAACAAATCCCTGTTTACAGAGCAGCACATAATTGACTAAGACTATGTCTTCTATTTTGGAGCATCCCCCATTCTCTCATACGGATTGTGTTTAAGCTGCTTCTGTCTGGTGGGCCTGGGTCTTATAATTTCCTATAAAGCAAAAAAACCCCAAATTCTGTTTAGAGCAAAAGGTTCACCCTTCTAATAGGAAAGACTTTCACAATCCCTTTTCACTTGTCCCCAAAGGGAGTCTTGCACCTGGATCTTCCCTTTTCTCCTTAAAGGTCAGGTACCAGCCAAACCAACTGAATGGTTGACAGAACTGACTGGTCAGTGAAAACGGCTGCTCTGAGGCTCTCACAGGGTGAGTAGGCTCAGAAGGCTCACTGGAAAGGTTGCCTAAGTAGGCTGGGGTAACACACATGGGTGTAGAGCAGAGCAGATGAGCAGAGGGCAAAGGGCAGGTGGCAGAGGAGAGAGGGAAAGCACCCATGCACGGCCAACTTTTCTTCTGAGTGGGGCTTCAGCTAGCAGCTGCCTTCCCTCCAACCCTCCGCCTCTGTCCTCCCCCCGGTGCCCCCGGCCCTTCCACACACACATTCTGAGCCAGGGGCTTACTCTGCTCCAGATCTGTGTGTTTGAAATGTCTTACAGTCTTACAACACAAAGACTGCAGTGGGTGGTGGGACAAAACTCCATAATGAGACAGGCAGAGACCTAGGTGAGAAGCAGAGGTCTTTCCCATTGACTGATTTGTCTCTGACACCCTCAGACCCCCAGCAAGGGTGCTAGGAAAGTGCTGGCAGAAGGTGGAGCTTTTCATTTTTTTCCTTTTCTTTTTAAAAAATAGGCTCATTATGTGTCCCTCAGAGCCAAATGAGTGAAAAGCATGATTGAACCCTTGCTTGGAATCTGTTACCCTAAAGCTCTGTGTGATGGGAAATATCCCTAAGGCCCCCACAGTGGTCCTCGTTGGGCAGTGGGCAGGAGAGCACAACACCAGGGGAGGCTCTTGGAGGCAGATGGACACTGCGGGGTGCTGTCTCAGTCTAGCACCTGAGCTGGTGTGTACCTTGAGTGGTGCTGTGCTGAGTGGAGCCTTGGGAGCTTCCTGACCTACAGAGCTTTCACTGGGACAGGACCCTGAATTTCTAGAAATATCTGAGTGCTCTGTGATAGGAGTATCATTGTCATGACCTGGAGTGCCTACAGGATGGACAAGAAACCTCTCCTCAGTTAGTGGGCATCAGTCATCAGGAGGAAAAACACTCAACTGAGGTAAAACTTCTGGACAAAAGACCCTAGGGAAAGCCAATTTCCATCATGATGAAATTTTTGAGCAAACCATAAATTTTAACATGGGAACTAGCAAAATCAATGCAGAGAAAAATTCTCAAACAATTTGACAGTTGTTTTGCTGGCCCCCTCCACGAATCATGCTTGGGTTTATCAATGAGAGGAAACAAAGTGGGACATAGAAACCAGCCGTCCTGTGCCTCCTCCCCGAAAGCCTGGAATCTTCTGCCATCTCTGCCTGAAGTAGCCACACCAATGTCCACATGAAGGTGGGTATGTCTCTGTTTGTTGGGGACTTTTTCTTTTTTTCTTTTGAAGCCCAAGGTTCAGGAGGTTTCAGGGCAAGACACCACCACCTAGTTTAAAAGTCCAACCTGCAACATTCCGGTGGGATTTGTCTTTAACTTCAGAAGTCCATTAACTGATGGTCTGTTGAGGGCCATGTTTCTGGAGTGTCTGGGTTTGCATGTTTCTGGGTGGTGGGAGTGGGGGAGTCTCAACCATCTCCTCCTTGCCAAGTGCACTGTGAGGTAGGCACTCAGGCTGGTGGCCAGGGCCCTGCAAAGGAAGCAGAGAAAGGCTGAACTGCAGCACCAGGTGAGGCCCTTGTGGGCACAGATACAAGGGAGGGTAGGTGGCACTCAGAAGAGAGGAACCACATCCCCAGGAAGGGCGTTTGATGTCTTCCCAGTGCTGTGAGTGCTGGGATGTTTGCTGAATGAATCAACAAATGACTGTCTTTCCTCTGGACTTTCCTAAAGCATAAAAGAAACAATGAATCTTTTTGAAATTCACTCAGACTTACTGTCCAATCCCAAAGTGAAGAATGAAGAGGAAAGACATCTGATTACAGTAAAGAAGGAGCCAATGAAATAGTCCTGTCCAGTCAATGAGAAAAGAAGTAGAACTTCACAAGTCACTTTGTGACTTCCTGTCAGTGTTATTATTTACATATTAATACTTAACACTAATCTTTAAATACTAATTAAAATTTACATATTAATATTTTACAGGAGTTACAACTTGATTATTCCCCAAAGGGTCTGAAATGAGAGGTCAGGACTAAATTACTTGTCTGAATGGTTCCAGATGAGCAAACTGCTGTTTAGCACTGGAGGGAAAGGGAGTAAAATGAGCCTGCACGGCCACAGCATTCCCCTTCCCCTGGCCTGTGGGAGTGTGCTCAGAGGAATACAGGAATGTCTGCTGCAATACTCAGCCACTGTTGCCGGTGCAGTCTGGTCTCCCCAGGGCAGGTCTGTGGGTGAGAGGATCGTTTCATCACCCTGCTTCCCCTCTAGTCTATTTTTAAACCTTGCTGTATTACACCCTAGGCTTCCGGAACAAACCTCAAAAGCAGGTTTCTATATTCCCAAGATGCTTCACTTCCAGGGATTTGGCCTTTGAAATTTTTATTATTATTGACATTTGAAATTAATTTACGGAAGTTATTTTACTCACAGCATCTTTTTTCATTTTCTGACCTTATGTTACTGTTTCTAGGAAGAGCCTCTGAAATCAATACTGCAAACATGCTTGGACCTGAGGCAGCCACCTCCCCAGTGGGTCCCAAGACTCTGTACTTTGAGGCTCCCTCACAGGGGCTTTCTCCTCTCTTTTGCTCCTGGTGAGGTCAAGCAGAGAGGGAATGTGCTGGGCTTCTCTCTTATTTTCATCTTTAAAAACAGGCTGCTTTTGACAAAGGCAACGCAGCTATATTGTCATCCATGACAGAGGTTGCACTGGTAACAGGCATCTCTCTGTTTCTTTGTAGTCAGAGGTGGGGACTAGCATTATCCCAGATAATGTTCCATTTTGAAATGCCTTCACTTCAAATTGCTTAATATTTCACATTGGGGCAGGGAAGCAAAAAATTAAAAAAAAAAAGAAAAAGAAAAAAAGGGAATGAAATAGAAAGTAATGTTCAAAGATAGGATATTAAGTAAAGGGAAAATACTGAACCCCTCTGCTCCCCGCAGGGATGGCAGAGGAGCACCTTGTGATGGCAACTCTGAACAGCTGGATGGAGCTCTGTAGCAAAGCAGGCTTCAATCGTCTGTCTGAAAGCAGCAGCCCCAACTGCCAAAGCGAAAGGGGCAGGCCACCTCCAAGCTGGAGCCAGAATCAGAATGTCCCCTGCGTTCCTCTAGTCCCCACCTTTCTGCTGGTACATCCTCAGCTTGCAATGGTTTCTGCTGTGCCCGCTGCACCCCACGATTGATGGGGGAGTCAACAGCTGTGGAATGAGCAGGTGGGCCACAAAGGAGACAATTCAACATAGCCTCCTCCTCCTGCTGAAAGCTGGGGTGAGGGGGGTCCTGTTCGAAGGACTCTTGAGCCCCACTCACCGCTTTTGTGTCAGAAGCACGCCATGCACATTGATATGGTGGTCCCAGCAAGTCAAGAATTTTGCATGAAGCCCCCAGTGCTGCAGGCAATTGTACTGCCCTGGTCTGCCTGGCTAATTATGAGCACCTGAGTTTTGTGGTTCATGTTGCCTCTAGAACCTGTCATGAGGGAGCCCAGTTTGAGGCATTTCCAGGACTGGGCCAAACCCCTGGCTGAGGGGAAAACAAAGGGCAGTTCGGTTGGAGGGTGAGCTAGCTGTGGTAGTGGCTGCTCGTGTGGCCTGCAGGTATAACAGCCCCTGCCTGGCGGGGGAGAGTGGTGTTTTGGATAAACCAAAAATCTGAGCCAGAACATCCCACTTCCACATTTACTGAGACAGCGACTGGTGTCTGTGCCATGTGTTCTACTCTTGGCAATGCTGTCAATAAAAGACAGCTTGCTCACTGATGCTCTCCATGTCGTTGTTGTCATCATCACCACTGTCATCATCATGTCACCTCCCTTCCACCTGTCAGCCCATGAATTGCTATAGCCAGGCCACCCCCAGAGGGTTTTCAGCAGCCCTGAATCCATGGATGTGGCTGCTGTCTCTCAGTGCACACAGGGAAGGACCCGGACCCTAGACCAAGGCAGACAGCAGAGGCCTGCAGAGAAGGCCACACCTGTAGTGTCTGGCCTGCCCTTTGGGTCCTAAACCTCAAGATCCCCTGGTTCTCCACCCTCTTTGCTCCCCTCAGCGTTTGCCTGCTCTTTCTCCCCCATCTGTTTCACTCAGCAGCCACACAGCCAACCCGCCTTCCTCAACTGAGGCCTTGGAGGCTCTGATTAAGGCAAGTGGTCAAAGGCCAGCCCATCATGGCCCAGCACGGCCCAGCATGTGCTGCATCTTGTCTTATCGGCCCATCTCAAGATTTTGCTCCTCCAGGCTTGGGCAACAAGAAAGGGGGCAGCTTTGAGTCCACTGGCTCTCTGAAGCTCCCATCACAATAGGGCAGGCAACAAAGACATTTTCTGGGATGGCAGGTGTTGGTGTCAGATTCCACCCAGAAAGCAGGAGCAGAAGAAAAGGAGAGGCTGGGTTTCCCTCTTTTCCTCAGCAGCACATACACAGGGGCAGGAGTGTAGGCAGGGCCCCTTGGGAGGGGAGGTGGGAGCAGTAGGAGCATGAGGGCACATCTCAGTGAGGTGTTAGCCATGGAAGAGAGCCTGTAAGTGAATTTACACACCTGTCCCCAAGAGCAGGGTGGTTGGGCAAATCTGTTGAAGTGCTGGTCTTACCTTGCTCAAATACTGCAATGAGACCTTTATGTATTTTAATCTGAAGGGAAAGAACATAAAATCAAATGAATACAGCCAGCACACCCATAACCCAACTTGATAATGAACACAGTGCTAATAATACATTTATTCCTGGTCTGCCTGAGTGTTGTCACAGTCTTAGAGATCATTAAGAATTGAAAATTCACTTAAAATTCTACTTGGCAGGACAGAATTCTAGCTGCTGTCACATTTACAAATGCGAAATGAAGGAGACATTAGCATTCCTAGGATTTATAAAGCAGATGTTATTGGGAGCCCTAATGACACTGGGCAGCCCTCACCACTGTGTCCTTTTTCCTGCTGCCCAATATTTCCTGACTGAGTTGCTCTAAAATATAGTCAAAGATAAGTTTTCAAGACAAGTATTTGGAATTCAATGGATGACCTAAAAAAACAATTTATATCCTCCAAGTGCGCAAGTTTACAGGTCTCTAAGTTTCCTTTTACATGCTTCCGAGTTGTACAGTTTGTTAATTCAGTACTAGTGTCACCTGTGATTGACAGTCCCCACAAAAAAATGCACAAGGCATGCTGTGCCCAGGGCAACTCAGGGCGGGGGCACTGCAGTGGTAAAATTGGACCACGTCTGCCCTCACTTGCAGAGCAGTAGGATCTTAGCAGTCATGCCTGACCAGAGAAGGGACTTGAGCTTTTCCGTACTTTGTGACAGGTTTTCTCAATTACCCCATCTTATTTCCCATGTGGGTTTTTCTTAGCAAATGCAACCGCTTTCTGCATCCAGCCATTGCTCCACACCCCCAACCCTCTAATGCTCTTGAATTCAGCATCACTGGACCACACTCAAATTCAGACAAAGGAAATTTATCAGTGACACAGACTGCGGTCCACGTGGTCACATTTGTAAACTTGGACTGTCTGCTGACCCTGCCTGCCAAGGTTGGCACAGTGAGCAGGGCTAGTCTCTAAGACAGTGGTTCAGAATGCCATTGGAATGAGCACTGACATAGTTTTCAGTGTGGTTCTTTTCTAACCTATTGATGAAAGTCTATTGCACCCACCAAAAAGTCATTTGGGGGTAGGAATTTCAGGATAAATAACAGGTAGTGGTGATCCAGCAGCATTCTGTTTTACCTGATTTCTAGCCACTGTTAACTCTCCTTCTTACCACGTTGAGTGTGCTCCAGGGCACAAGAAGTTCTTGGGAGGTGTTAATTGTTGGTAACAGGCTAGAATGTTTTTTGTAGGTCCTCTAGATAACATGGTTATTAAATTTCCTACTTTCCCCCAGTAAACTGTGTTGTGGGGCCATTTCCTCTCATGGAAAACGCCCCCATATAGACCCTTTCTGCATGGGTGTCTTCCCTGAGCTAAGGTGGTTCAGCTTGTCCAGGCACCATGCCATGGAACTTCTCCAGGATGAGCAAAGGGGGTCTCATGGAAGAGCTCCTTGGTCTCTCTCCCCTGCAGCCCCCTCAGCCCTGGTTATGCTGGGCATAGAGACACCCGATTGGTGGAAACCAAGAAAACAGATGGCACAGCTAACAATGGAGGCTTGTTTGTAATTGCTGATGAGGACTGGTTTGCTCTCTCCCCAGTGTGTCCCCAGATGCAACCTGGTGTGGTGTGCTGCACCAAAAAGAATGGCTCAGTAACTGCCTATCTATGGGTAAGTTAAGGAGATGGAAAGACAGAGACACCTGGGGCTTACCTCAATTATTCCATGGGGCTCAAATATCACTTGCCCTTGATACACAGGTAACGCTGTCAAAGGGCAGGGACCTGCACTTAGAGCATAGGTGCTGGCTGTCAGCTCCCTGATATATCCCTGAGGGTGAGCATGAGGTATCAACTGTCCTGGGCAGGCTGGAAGGCACCAGAAGACAGCACTGTGCTTGGAGATGAGGGATGGAAAGAGAATAGGTATGTGATGCTGGGGGATATGGGGGAGAGACACAAAGCATAATTATTTCATCCCTTCATCACTGGCTATCTGGTACGTGCCAGGTGCTGTTCTAGGCTCTGAGTTATAGCAGTGAGGAAAGCAGATGAAGCCCCTACCTCTTGGGCTCTGGTGGAGGAGTAATGACATGTATTCTAAGGGGGCAATATCATCCTATGGGAGGCAAAAATGCCTCACTCCTTATGTGCATAAAGACCAGAAATAAGTTCAGTAAATAAACAGATAGATAGTATTTCTGTGGTGTTTCTGGAACAGGACAAATTAGGGAATGAAAATGTCTCAGAGGCCTCCATGGTGGGGAAATAATGAAAAAAATAGGTTGAGAGACAATAGATTATGGAGTTAATATGCATCTTAAATGCAATTTTTTTTTTTTTTTTTTTTTTACGTTAGTGGTGCTGGGAATTGAGAGTTGGCCCTGCTCACACCTAAAAACAGCTGAGTGGGACCCTTCTGGGAGGGTCCTCCAGGTATAACTCATACAACCAGTGGGCCACTCAGGGGCTTGGACAAAGTGGGAGCCCAGAGAATCCGGAATTCACTTTTAGAGAGAGAGATGCCTCAATTCTTTGAGCTCGTGTGACTTCTCTGATACTCTGGATATCAACAAGGACTTAATTGAGCAAGAAGGAAAGAGGACTCATGGACATGGACAAGTGTGATGATTGCTGAGGGGCAGGGGGATATAAGGAAACTAAATGATGATGGAAAATATACAATAGAGATTTAAAAAAACACAGGAGACAATAATCTTGGTTGAAGAGTTTCTGTGTCCCATAGAGCTCTGCGCCATGGAGGCTCTTCGAGAGCTGCTGGGTCTTCTGTGGCATGTTTTCTCTTCTGTACTCACTGGGAAAGCAAAAGAGCAAGGTCTTGAACCGCTTCTCATCTCCAAGGAAAGTGCCATCCAGGACTGCCATCTGGGATAAGCTGGGCAGGGTCAGACAAGAAAAGTGGCTGCGTCTCTCTGGGTTCTTGTTACTGAACAGTGTGGAAAATGATTAACTGGTTCAAGATAATTAGGGAAGGGAACGGTTTTGAGAGCTGGCATGGATGAGAGAGAGAACAGTGGACCAGGGTTTCAGCTTTAGGCGAATGCTAAATATCCTCCCGGCAGGAAGGCAGACAGAGCGGGAGATCAGAGAGCTGTCTGGGTTATTCAGACCCCTTGGAATGGCTCTGAGGAAGGGAACAGGTGCAGCCTGGACAGGGTAAGCCTACGCACTCAACTCAACACTGGCAACCCAAGATCAGTGGGAATTAGCCAGCCTAATTAACATTTCCAAATGGCCCAAGGATGGCTTCCAGTATTTCCAACCCAGCAGCAGTGGCCCTGGGCTTGGCTTCCTCTTTTTGGTTGTTGGTCTTGCCCATCCACTTTGTTTCTGAAGCAGAAAGCTAGGACAGCTGGATTGAAGGCGGGCAGGCAGAGAGTGTGTATGTGTTATGTGCCTGAGCGTGCATAAGCACCTGTGAGGTTAGGGACTAAGCAAGTTTTTCATTCATGAAAAACTTTCCTTATGTTTTTCTCTTCTCCTTCCACACTATAAAAACTCTCATATATAAGAGTACATTATATACAACTAAGATTAAGTAGATTATAAATTTAAAATGAAATCTTGCTGTCAACTTTCCTGATAGGCCCTCCTGAAGAAAGAGGTTTCCAGATCCTCTTGCTATCTCACAGAACACAAACACCAAAATTTCAGTTACATCTAGGCCATAGTGATGGCTGTTCATTTTACCAGATTTAATTCACACCTCAAAATAGAAAAACACTACCAAAATGTTTGTAGCAGCAATATCCATAATAGGTAAAAATGGGAAATATCCCACATTTCCATCGGCTGATGAATGACGAAAATGTGGTCAACTCTTACAATAGACAATAAAAAGAAGTGAAATATTGATACAGGCTATAACTTTGATGAACATTGAGACATGCTAAGTGAAAGAAGCCAGTGACCAAAGACCAAATACTGTATGATATCACTCATGTGACATGTCTTATACAGGCAGATTCATAGAGACAGAAAGTAGACTTGGATTGCTTAGGGTTGGGGGTGGAGCAGGGTGAATGAGAATTGACTACTAGTGGGTTTGTTTTTGTTTAGGATGGATAAAAATGTTCTAAAATTAGATTGTGGTGATGGTTGCACAACTTTGTCACTATACGAAAAACTGAACCATATACTTCAAATGGATGAATGGTATGGTATATGGATTATATCTCAATGATCCTATTTTTAAAAAGGGAAAAGTAACATAGAAGGTAGTGTGGGTAGCTACTGCTAGTACTTTTCCAAAAGTAACACAACAGAAGTGGCTCTGAGATCTAGGGGAAAATAAACTCCACCATGAACACCTAAGGAGGCAGGGGCTGAAGCAGCTAAGCAGCTACCCCCAGCAACTCTCCTCCTGTGCCGCACACACACCTAACCATCTTCAAGGCAAACAAGACGGGGCCACCCCTCAGATGAGCCACTACCCTTACCTTCAAGGTCATCTCTCAGGTTTATTCTAACTTGCCTTCATCTGTCTTGTAAAAACTCAAGTGTAGCCTTGGGCAGCAAGGTGAGATTGCACTGCGGGTTTTCCCCAGGACACATTGGGATTTTCTACGCAGCACAGGAGTGCATTTTAAATTCCTAATAATCAATTGCTCAAGAAAATGTAGCAGTTAAATTTATGGTGACTTGTGGGAGAATAGTGAGTTCTAATTATTTGTCTGAGGATACATTAAAGAAGCCATGAAATTGTCTTGTAGTTTCACTGATATAAGCTGTCCTACTGTTTTCAGACACTTAGGAAGCTATTTTGGTCCATAATTATCTTCTATGTGTGAATTATTCCTGTGGTGCTCCATTTGCATTCTGAAAGAGGAAATACTTTGGTTAACTTTCTGTCAACATTTCAGTTATCTGTGCCATAGTGGGTGTGCATTTGCCATATATTGAATAAAGTAGCCCTTTCTACCTTTGGGGAGGAACATTGTGCTGTTGGAACAAGAGTTTGTCTTCTTCTCCCCATTGTTCATTTCTCCACAAGCAGTGGTCCTGTCAGAGTGGGGACACAAT